CTAGTTCACCCATGTTGATCCGTGAGGACTTCCTGGTTTTACTTTGTATTCGGCTTGCTCCCCCTGACATTAGCCCCTATAGCTGCCTTGATTGATAGCTCGGAGGCTATTAAGTTGCTTCAGACAGAAATGCCAACTCCGCTCACTTCCTGACTAGTGACACATGCGATTTGTCTTTAACCACGAACGCACATCAGGAAACGAAACAAGATTATTTGTGCTGTGCTGCGGAAAATCATACAAGTGAGAAAACATTATTTTTAGATAAGACTGTTTCCTAAGTCTTTAATGAGAACATACAAATCTGTCTGTCCTGTGTCAGAATATCAACACGCATGGTTCATATTCCTCACTACACGGGCACTGTTCACTTGACTGTCTATAGCTCAGCCATTGGCTTTCAGCATTGCTAACCCAATATCTCATTATCACGTTAAAAATGCTGATTGTGAGCTGGGTGGTGGTGGTGCACACTTTTAATCCCTGAACTCGGGAGGCAGAGGCAAGTGGATCTCGGTGAGTTCGAGGCCAGCCTGGTCTAAAAGTGCTAGTTCCAGGACAGGCTCCAAAGCCTGTCTCCAAAACAAAACAAAACAAAACAAATAAACAAAACAAAAATGCTGGTTGTGTAGGATATACCTTTAGTCCCAGCATTTGGGAGGCAGAGGCAAGCCCATCTCTGTGAGTTCAAGGCCAGCTTGGTGTACATAGTGAGTTTCGGAATAGCCAGAGCTATGTAGAGAGGTCCTGCCTCAAAACCTACAAGAAGAGGTTATGAGCATTTTTAATTGACTAGGAGAAGAAATAGACAAGAAAATCCTTCAGGAATGTGCTAAGCAAGAAGAGATGCTCAAAGAAGAATCAGAGTGATTCTCGTGAGCGGCATAGCAGAGTGGCTCTTGTTCAGGGCTGTGTCCCCATCAGCCTCTTCCTAGGAACGCTGTGCCAGCACTGCCAGCCTCTCTCAGTTGCCAAGGTAACCTGCTTTCTCTTGTGCTCCAGGGAGGATGCTCTTATGGTCAGACCACACTTGATGAACAGTTATTGCAGAAATGCACCACTAGATAGGCTTTCAGAGAGGCACCCATTCCCGACCCTCAGGTGTTGGAAGACTTACTGTGTCTTTTTAAAGGTTTATTTTAATAAGCATAGGTGTTTTGCCTGCATGTTTGTACACCACGTTAATGCAGTGCCCCTGGGGGCCAGGAGAGGGCGTCTAATCCCCTGCGACTGGGGCTATAAATGGTTGTGAGTTGATTCATGGATGGTGGGAATCCAACCTTGGTCCTCTGGAAGAGAAACCGGTATTCTTAACCACTGAAGCATTTCTTTGACTTTTGTGTGACGTCATTAATTTAAAGGGCTATTTGACTATCTAGACTCAATGGTATCTTAGAATTAAGTCTTGGAATCCGTGTTACACATTTTATAAAAGCTTTCTCTAAAGGTCTGTATTTCTAAGCTTATTTTTATTGATGTTGTTGAGGAAAATATATTTATGACAGGTAATGTTTACAAATTAAAATTACTCAGTTCCCACAGAACTAAGGCAAAAGAACCATGCATTAACGACTGGTAACAAAATCTAGTTTCTATAAAACAAAAATATGCAAATGGCAAACCTAAGATGCCCGTTGTTCAGCTACCAAACTAATATGGCCAACTCCTGGATTGGAGGCTCTTCTCAGAAGTGGCCCTTAAGAGGCACACGTAAGAAATGAAGCATCAAAATGGGCAGAGGTGGTGCACACCTTTAATCCAGCACTTGGGAAGCAGAGGCAGGTGGATCTCTGTGAGTTCAAGGCCAGCCTGGCAGTTCCAGGATGCCAGGGCTACACAGAGAAACTGTCTTGAAAAACCAAAATAGATAGATAGATAGATAGATAGATAGATAGATAGATAGATAGATAGAGGAAGGAAGGAAGAAAGAAATGATATGTCTTAGTCCCAAATTCAAGCATATACTACTTTCTTAAGACTATTTTCTTTAATATTTTATTATTTATTTCTTTTTTATGTGTGTAGTTTACTGATGTGTTCCCGTGGGTGGAAATACATGTGCTTGCAGGTATATGGAAACCAGAGGTTGGCATCCGGGGTCTTCCCTGATTGCTCTATGAGACAGTCTCTGAGCCTGTAGCTCAGTTCTGCCTGGCTGGCTGGTCACTGAGCACTGGGAAGTCCTGTTGTCCTTGTCCCCACACCGACGGACAGTGCTGGGGCTACGCACATACAATGCTGCTTTCAGCTTCTTGTCTGCTGAACTACGGTCCTCGTGTTTACACAGTGACCCTGAGAATTCTGCAGTTATCGATCTTGAGCCGGCTTTAGAAAACGGTGTGTTATCAGGGACGTGCATGCCACAGCTCACCTCTGCATCCTGCGGGGTGAATTTTATGGGATGGGGAAAACTGACCTCGCATGAACTGTCTGACCTTCCCTTCTCCTCTAGACAGCTGCAGCGACAAACAAGCCACTAGACAGCTCTGACCAATGGAACAGCCTCTGCATATCTGCTTTTCAACTAACACACTGGCACGCTGGAACTGACAAAGGGGCCATGAAGGACTGCCGGGCCAAGCCTGCTTTTCTTCCTCCTTGGTAGTTAGCCTGTGTGGCTGCCTTCCCAGGATCTGTGGGACAGAAGAGGTTGTTTCCAGTTCTCTCTCTCTCTCTCTCTCTCTCTCTCTCTCTCTCTCTCTCTCTCTCTAGTCAGAATGCTCTCAAAAAGAAAAGAAATACTATTTGTGGGTTCTGAGCTAACCAATGGAAAAGTGTCTTCAGACTAAGTACAGCAGACACTGGACTCCACTGGCTCAGTGGCTTTTCAGCCCGTTTTTTACAGAACTGCAGAAATCTCTTAAGATTTCTGACTTACACTTGCTTATTCTTATCTCAAACTCAGATCCTAAGAAAGGAACAAAGAACAGATTTCAAGCTATAGTGTCTACAAACTGAACAGACAAATGAGGACTGGCCACATGCCAAGTTCAAGGTCTCCAGCTAGGTCCTCTCACACCTGTTACACAGTGAAAAATCTGACTCTCTACTTCCTGCCAAAGACTTGGAAACCTAAATAAAGGAAACATGGTGCTGTCTTTACAGAAACAGTCAAACTGAGATAAAGAGGTTACGATTTAGACCAACAAGGAGTCAGCGGACTCTAGCTCATGGCTCAAATTATACATCGCTCTCGCTTTTGTATGGCCCGTGGATGGAGAGTAGTTAACATTTTTAAGGAAAGAAGGCGAGGAAGAGGAGCGGGAAGGAGGAACAAAAGAAAAGGAAGGAAAGGAAGGACATTTCATAATACACGAGAATTCATGTAATATTCAAACCTCGTCTTCCTCAATCAAGTTTTACTGAAACACAGCCATGTTTCTTAGTTCTCCCACCACATGAGGCTCCCTTGACATTTGGAAAAGGCGCAGTCCCTGCAGTGGAGACCGTGTGACCTGGGGGAGCCAGATACGTGACCTTTACAGAAAAAGTGTGCCAACTACCATTTTAGATTTTAAAGTATTTCTTTCTGTTCAGCTGAGATAGTTGACTGAGAACACACACCTCAGGTTTGGTAAGGGTACATTTATAGATTTAAAAACCTTTAGACATAGTAAGATGCATGCACTGCACTGGGAAGAAATATGGTGTGTTTGTGCGTGAGTAGGAACACCCTCCTGCACAGAAGAGTGTAGGGAGCAGAAGCTGACTGGGTGCCTTCTTTATCCACTGCCCTTTCTTCTTTTTGAGACAGGGCCTCTCACTGAACCTGGAGCTCACCAGGCTGGCTGACAGGCAAGTCCTAGAGATCCTGTAGTCTCTGCCCCTTTCTGCCCCAGCTCTGGCTGTACGGACACGCAGTTGGTACTGTGCTTTTTAAAAGGATGCTGGGACTTTGAACTCAAGTCCCATGCTTGCACAGTAAATGCTTTATCGCCTGCCCCATTTCCCCAGATAGGATGTCTATTTCTTGTGGATGTTAACTTTCTACCTTTATCCTGTTAGGTCAGAACATTGTGCCTTTTTCTTTTCTTCTTTCTTTGGCCATATAGTCATTTCTTTCCTTTTTTTAAAATATTTTTTATGGTTTATTTAATGTGCATTGGTAAAAAAGGTGTCAGATCCCCTGTAACTGGATCTTCAGACAGTTGTGAGCTGCCATGTGGGTGCTGGGAATTGAACCCAGATCCTTTGGAAGAGCAGTCAGTGCTCTTAACCACTGAGCCATCTCTCCAGCCCCTAGTCATTTATTTTACAGAAAACCTTGATGCTGAAGAATGGGCTATCCTGAGCTTTTCCCAGTAGACGTTGATAAAATAAAATCCTGGACCGTCTGTTTGTGAATAGTTAGTTCTGCCGAGGGCTAGCTACAATCCCCTGTGCTGTGAGGGCTCCATGTAGATCATGAGAGACCAGGGACAATTTCAGCCGTTCTGCCTGTGTACACCTTAATGAAGGAATGGCAGGATTCGCGCTAACAGCTCCACAGGACTGCTCGACTGCCCTCAGTGGTTAAGCCTGTTTCTCCCCCCTCAACAAAGCATCTTTCCATGGAAGGCAGACAGGACTGGAGTTTCTATGCTAATAGTTCGCTCAAACACATCTCCCCATATGACTGGAATTTCTCCCTTGAAAGTCAGAGACTAAACTGAGAGGAAAAAAGATGTGAGTCTATGTTAGAACTGCCAGGTTATCCGCACCCAAGTTTACTCCCAAGGAGTGACTTCGGCTCCCCAGAGACACGCGAGAACAATGGCTGTGGCGAGACACTGGGTTCTAAGTTCAGCTTTTCAGTAACTCAAAGGAGGTTCATTTGGTAAGAATACTGTCCTCACTACCACTGTGTGTCCCCTGCCAGGCTGCCTGTTGACAGTACTACAGCCGGATCTCACCAATTCATACACCATCCTCCTACCAGGTACATTCAAGGTAGTTTCTTTAAATAAAAAGGCAACAAATATATTTTTAAGCCAATAAGAGAACAACCCCTGGGGACTCACCTAGAGAAATCGCCTTTTGCTTCCTGTGGAAGAAAAAAAAAAAAGAGTGAAACACAGATTGATCGTTAAGAGTGAAAACTTACGTCCTGTGATCACGGCTACTTCCCTGCCGAGTAAGAACAGCTTCCTACTGCGGCCACCCTGCTCCCTCTGGAATTCAATGACGAGGGACACTAAGCCAGTGGTGGGAGAACGCTCCCATAACTGTAATTCCCAGCACTTGGGATGCTCAGGCAGGAGGATCCTGAGTTTGAAATTAGCCCTGGTTGCATAGTGAGACCCTGTCTGATGGGCCAGAGTCAGGGAGAATATGTACATGCATCACGTGACTAAGAGACACAACGCAAACTCTACAAAGTTATTTGTAAGTTTATATTTCATGGCCCTACTCTAACTAAATTAGGATTAAGACTTCTAAACTGAGCATATATCTGAATAATTTTTTTCTTTCTCTCTCCTTCCCTCTTTCCCTTTCCCTTCCTCTATCCCTCCCTCCCCCTTTCCCTTTCTCTCCTTTCCTCATACATACACAATTATCTCTCTCTTCCCTTTCCTTCCCTCCTCCCTCACCCTCTTTTGCCACTCCCTCTCTTCAGCTCCCCCTTCCTCTTTTAAAACATCCCCCATCTCTTTCCTCCCCTTCTCCTCCAGTCCCTTCCATCCTCCCTTCCTTTTCCTCGAGACAGCTGCAGTCTGCCCTCCTGGCCCAACCTCCAAAGCAGCTGGGGTTACAGGTGCACGCCACTGTGCCGGGCTAGGACAGTCTACTTCTCCTGTCCCCTTTGAGTGTGAGTTCTTTCCTAACCGCACCAAAGGACTGGAAGTCAGAGGCCATGTGAACAATTAGTTTTTCTCAGGGCAAAAGAGGGTACCAAACTTAAAGTGGGGACTGGAGAATCAAATGATTGCAGATTAAACACGTAACTGTACCCAAGGTTGCATGATATAGTCTTAAAATTCTGAAATAGTGCAAACATCTAATTATGGTCATGGCATCAGCCTTCCTAATACCTCTGTCACCTGTGCCTAGAAAATGTCAGAAAGCCAAGCAGGGGACGTGGCTGCTGTGTGGGCCCAGCAACTGCCTTGCCTTTGGGTGGACGTAAAGCAACTCACCTGTAAGATATAGGAAGCCAATTCAAACACCACTTCACTGTCAACATCAATTAGCTCCTGAAAGGGAAAAAAAAAAACCAAGGTGAGTCTTTTGTTTTATCTACTTAGTTTTGGACAATTAATTAATTAAAATCTTTAAAAATACAGATCTTTCAGTACAGTCCAGGCTGGCCTGAAACTCACAACCTTGCTGTGTCTGCCTCCCCAGTGCACAGGTTCTAGACACGTGTCACTGAACTCTGTAATTTGGCACTAAACAGCTTCCATACAGCAGCTCCCATGGAAGGGACCTGGCCTTTCTTGGGAGTTCCCCAGAGTCTCAAAACTTTTAGAGTGTCTTTGGTGCTTTAGACAATTCCTCCAAGTGACTCCATCCTGAACACTCCCCAAGATCTTTTCAAGGAAGCCTATGTGTCATCTTCAAATCTGGATGAGGCAGTCGGGATGGACCATGCCCAGCTTTGCAGACATCTGCTCATATTTATTTTATTTTTCTTTCATGTACACATATGGGTGTTTTACCTGCATGTGTACCACATGCATGCAGAAGGAGTGAGTGTGTGTGTGTGTATTTGTGTGTGTGTGTGTAGGGAGAGAGGGAGGAAGGGAGAAGGGAAGGATAGCGGGAGAGTAGCCACTACTCCTAGCCACCGCACCATCTCCTGTCACAAACCTGCTCATCTTATTCGTCACAGGAATACAGCTGCTCAGTAGCCAAAATTACATTTTGAACTTCTCTCTGAGATTGGGTCTCACGTGTAGCCCTGGGTGGCCCAGAGCTCAGACCTGCCTCTGCCTCCCAAGCGCTGTGACTCAAGGGTTCACAACCATGTCCAGCCCCATTACAGTTTCTTTTCAGTTTCTGCCTTAGCACTGGTAGTGAGGCTTCACTGAAAGAAACGTTACAAAGGGATCATAACTCGGCTGGGAGTCAAACAAGGCAAGACTAAAAGTGCAGCTCTTCAGGGGCACCCAGCATGCTCTCTCAGGTGCTCAGAGCTCAGAGTGGCTAGTGGCTGTTACGTTAATATAGATCTGTAACATATATTTTCTTTTCTTTTTTAAGATTTATTTATTATTCATATAGCGTTCTGTCTCCACGTACGCCTACAGGTCAGGAGAGGGAGCCTGATCTTACTACAGATGGTTGTGAGCCACCATGTGGTTGCTGGGAATTGAACTCAGGACCTCTGGAAGAACAAACAGTGCTCTTAACCACTGAGCCATCTTTCCAGCCTTACCTATAGCATTTCTACCTTAATGGAGGTTCTATTAGTCATTGCTAGTCCGGTGTTTAATTTAAATATTCTTCTGTTCTTTGAGATCTTTATCAAATGGTTGCAATCTAGGAGCGTAGCCTTAAAAAAATAAAAACTTCTTTGTTTTTGAAAAACAAAATCCATGTATGTTTTTATCAAAACACAGACATAATTAGACTCTAAGTAGGAGCATTCCCATCAATGCCAGCTGTGTTCACTCCAGTGGTCCAAGATGACATCACCTAGTGATGTCACAGTCACCGCAGTTTGTATAAATGTACTTGATGCCCGCACAACAATAAAACTACTTCCCACATCTATCAGAGTCCTCCCTGCCGCAAAGCGACATGGACCTGAGTTCCTATGTCTGTAAGAACAGCACCACCAAGGCACTAATTCAAACATGTGCAAAAGTCTGTGTTTATCACGTCACCTTGACGGCTTTGGAGGCAGGCCCACCCAGACACCATCACCACAATACATCTGCCCATATTCCCCAAAAGATCTATTTTCATGATAAACACTTGACATGGTCCTCCCTCTTAATGTACTTATAAGTGAAGGATGCCATATTATATGTAACCTGTTAGAGACAAACTCAGGTCCATTACCATGCAACAAGAGTTAACTGGTGTCATGTTTCTATTGTCAAGATCGAGGAGAAATTCCCGTCTTCATCTTTCCTCTCTCACCACTTCCTTCTCCTTTTCTTATTTCAAATAGGGTCTCACTCGATAGCTCTGGCTCACTTTAAACCGATGGGCATCCTCCTGCCTGAGCCTTCCAAGTGCTGTGATTAAGGCATGAGCCACCATGCCTAGCACATCTTCATTTTTCATTCCATATCATGACCAGGTCTGAGAGTCAACGTCTAGACAAGAGGACAAGCTAGGAGAGACCTAGAGACCAGTTAGCTCAGCACCATGCTTTTGACTGAGGACGGAAATCCAAAAACATGACGCAGCTTGCCTCAAGTCACGAGGACCATACTGGCTGTCTGTCACTGTACTGGGAACCACAACTTCTCTAATATATGACCTCACTTAGGACACACCCCTCCCAAGTTAAGAAGGTCTCAGTTCCAGCCAGCATACTCTTGGAACGATATTTATGACTGAAGTTAGCACGAAAAAGTGATTTAAATTAAGAGCTATTTGAACTACCAGCCAAACTCTGAAATATATGGATTTAAAAAAAATTAGTTGGGGGGCATCCAAAATTACCCACCGTAATTCATGACAATATATTTGAGCAGTATTGAACCTTTTGAAGAAGGGATTTACTCATGGTCTCTCAGGCCAAGGAATTCCAAAAATAGATCAAAATACTTGCTACTGAGCCTTCTCAGAATTGTAGCTCAAGAGACGCGACAACATTTAACCACCATATGGAAGAATGGGGGACAGTCGTTCTTTATGCTCCACCAGCCACAGGAGCTTAAGGGCCTCCATAATTCATCGGCTCTGTCAGAGCTGGGATGTGGGAGAATGTTTGCAATGGCAGTTGTGGGATTACTAGCTCCCATCAAAATGTAAGTCATACAACAGTACGCAAACGCTTCCACAGAAACTGTCCCGTGTCCACCATAGATCATTTCTGTTCTCTCTTTATTCATTTCTCTTCCCACCAATCAGCTCGCTAAAGAGTGCGCAGTACTTGAGAGCATATTGCTGTGTGTGCATGTGTGTTTGCATGTGTGAGCCCTTCTGTTAAACATTTACACCTACGAAGCCGCGAATGGTCAACAGCGGGCTAATGGCTAACACCATCTGGGAGGCTTATCTCATGTGTAACTCAGAATCAACCGCTGGCAGACAGCCCTGCGCAGGAGCATACGGTGTGACTGATAATCTGAGTCTTTTGCGACATCGAAGTGTCTGTGTTGGGAAGCGGAGGTCTGGGAAAGGAAGGAAGGGCCTTTTCTTTCACACAACCCATTATGTGGTCCCAGGAGGTCCTGTAGGAGAATATTAACCACAGTGCTCGACCAGCGACAGTGAAGCCTCCAACAACAGGGTCTTAAAAGCCTGGCTTGGCTTAGGTAAGTTCTCCTTCACTGTAGCTGTCCTTGGTGTGAATGGAAACAAATGTTTTTAACTAGGGCACATTCTCCTATTCCCTCCAGGTGAAGAGACGATAAAACACCCAGAGTTAGAATGTGTCCAGCAATCGAGGAAAGGGAGGCAGGAGGAGATGCCTCTGAGCCTGCACACACTCCAAAGCTGTGCGTGATTTGGAAGGCTGTGTTGTTACTTCTTAGGATTCCTAGTTAATATTTATTGAATTTAACAATCCCTGGATGTCCCCAGAGAAGTCAGTTGAGAGAGTGTATATGAGAACCGAACTTGAACGGTGGGAACACAAGTTCTTGATCGTTGAGAAAAGCTTTGCCTATTCCCTCAGCCCCCTCTCTGCAAAGCTCTTTCTCTATCTTTTGTTTTAATATCCTTGTTATTTCTTTACCACAATTAACAATCTCCTTTGCATTTCTTTCTCCTAGGGGATTACATCTCTAAGATTTTTCTGTAGAAACAAAACCTTAATTTTCTGTTCACTTCCCGAGTTTTCCATGAAAACCGAGTTTGCTATAGAGGAGTTAGCAGGGGTCCCAGAGATCCTACCCTCAGGTCCCCGCTGCCACGTGACATCAAATATGACTCTTTCCCTCGGCTGGCTTCCCCAGCGAGCCAGAGGTGGCCCACTTCATGTGCTTCTCCAGCAGAGGAAACAGACTGACTGACCAGGAGAACAAACAGTGTACAACCCCACAGTTTCCTGGAGCTCCGGGCTTGCCCTTGACAGGCAAAATCGGGATGTGTGAGGCGAGGCAGGAGGCTCTTTAAGAGAGATTTGAATGGCTTCCACCTGGCCACCTGCAAAGGCTGGTCCTGTGACATTCCCGCAGACTTATTCCATCCATAGCTCTGTGCTGGAGCCCCAGGGCTTCCAGAGCCATCTGAGGAGGGGGTTCTGCTGGGTCATTTCCTGAGCTAGAATACTGCCTGGGAACCTAGGGTGATGGAGGACACGTGGTGATTTTACATTGAGGGGGAATGCCGCCTCTTTTGGCTACTGGGGCCATGATGTATGTATTATGAGCCCCTATTTCCCTTACTACTGAATGATTGGTGTCCTCTTTTTGGCTCCTTGGAAAATGGTATCGAATTTCCAAACAGAATGTGGTTGTCTGCTGCTGTGTGGAGGCATGCATGTGTGCATTCTCAGAGTGTAGAAGGAGACGGCGCATTTCCCCTTGTTCTGCATTGCTTTATCTGAAGTGACAACGAGGGTTGCTGGCATTCGTGAGCAGCTTCATGGTGGCTATCAACTATCTAGGGAAGATTTCCAACAGAGCATCGTGACATGTTCCAAACAAATACCCCCATGCCACGGGGCTTATGGGTACTTTCCCATAATGCTTAGTTGGTTCTTCCTGGCCTGTGGTTCAGAAGGGTTTGCTGGTACTTTTCACGTCATACTGAGAATCTCAACGGAAAGGATTCCTCTGTGGTTGGGATGAGAAAGCCCAACGTTTCCATATAACAAGAGAGATGATTGCAATAGCTAATGTCGAGTGTCCTCTTGACGGAGTGCGCACCAGCCCTGGAGACAGGCCTCCTCTAGGCATGTCTGTGGGGGATTAGCTTGAATACATTAACTGAGACTGGAAGGTCAGCTCTGTTGGTGGCACCTTCCCATGGCTGGGATCCTGGGCTGGATGCACGGAGAAAGAGCCAAGGGGCAGCATCCATCCCTCTGTTTCTTGACTATGGATGTGATATGATCAACTCTATCAAG